CTTAAGTCTTAGGTTGGAGGCAATGGCTCTTAGGTTGGAGGCCATCGTTCTTAGGTTGGAGGCCAGTGCTCTTAGGTTGGAGGCAACCGCTCTTAGGTTGCAGGCCATCGTTCTTAGGTTGGAGGCCAGTGCTCTTAGGTGGGGGGCCATCGCTCTTAAGTTGGAGGCCATCGCTGGCCATCGCTATTAGGTTGGAGGCCATCACTGCTAGGTTGCAGGCCATCGCTCTTAGGTCATCACTACTACGTTGCAGGCCATCACTCTTAGGTTGGAGGCCATCACTCTTAGGTTGAAGGCATTCGCTCTTAGGTCGGAGACCATCGCTCTTACATTGGAGGCCATCGCTCTTAAGTCTTAGGTTGGAGGCAATGGCTCTTAGGTTGGAGGCCATCGCTCTTAGGTTGGAGGCCAGTGCTCTTAGGTGGGGGGCCATCGCTCTTAAGTTGGAGGCCATCGCTGGCCATCGCTATTAGGTTGGAGGCCATCACTGCTAGGTTGCAGGCCATCGCTCTTAGGTCATCACTACTACGTTGCAGGCCATCACTCTTAGGTTGAAGGCATTCGCTCTTAGGTCGGAGACCATCGCTCTTACATTGGAGGCCATCGCTCTTAAGTCTTAGGTTGGAGGCAATGGCTCTTAGGTTGGAGCCAATCGCTCTTAGGTTGGAGGCCATCACTACTAGGTTGGAGGCGATCGCTATTAGGTTGGAGGCCATCAAGGCTAGGTTGCAGGCCATCGCTCTTAGGTTGGAGGCCATCGCTCTTAGGTTGGAGGCCATCGCTCTTAGGTTGGAGGCCATCACTGTCACTACCACGTTGCAGGCCATCGCTCTTAGGTTGGGGGCCATCGCTCTTAAATTAAGTTGGAGGCCATCGCTCTTAGGTTGGAGGCCATCGCTCTTAGGTTGGAGGCCATCGCTTCCAGGTCGGAGGCCATCGATCTTAGGTTGGAGGCCATCGCTTCTAGGTCGGAGGCCATCGCTCCTAGGATTCCTAGGTTGGAGGCCATTGCTATTGGGTTCGAGGCTATCACTATTTGGAAAAGTTGCCTTCGTGCAATTTGTTCGATCACGTACGCCGATTCTGGTCAACAGAATATTCAGAACCTCCCTCTCTAGCCATTCGGTGAGAGGAGCTAAGGCAAGAAGGAGAAGTGAAACAACATATTGTTGTGCTTTCGGCGCACTTGCTCTTTGAGAGCATGAAGATCTTCTTTGAAAACCTCCTACTCTATTTTGCCTCGGTGGCATCTGGTTGTGCCAGCCACTCGTCAAGAGACGTTTCTCCGCCATCATCTCCCATCATTCAACCGTAGCTTCAGAAACACAGGTGTTGAGTTCCCAAGCACAACAACAAAACAACAACTGCTGGTTGCAGTGTCTCTGCCCTGGGTTTCCTATCATCCTCCCTGCAATCCTGAACAAAAGTCATCACAATGACATGCCAGGAGCTGATGCGAGAGTCTTGTCAGAATCTTGCGAATGAGAATGGCCTGAGTTGCCTCCCCAGTCATCTTCCAAACCTGCACTGCATGTTCGGAACTCCAACACACACTATTACATATACGCATGGACTATATATACGCACGGATATATGTATATATCTATATATATATTTATATTCAATTATACGCATAGACTATAGACACACACTTACACCGAAATCTTTCACCCCCTCCGGTCCCCTTGCATGCGTCAGCTATTACAGCAAAAGATATGTTAGGACTGCTAAGGCCAAGCAACCCATAGTTGGATGGTGTAACATCTCGTTATGCTCTGGCATGCTGACATCTTCCAAGGAGTCCACAAAGTTCAAGTGAAAGTCTGTGAGTGTAATGTCCTTGGATGGCTTGCGGGAACCTTTCTCTCCAAGCAAAGTTTCAAGACTCTGAACATTGGAATCATTAGAACCCCAAGTCTGTTGCTGAAACCCGGAGATGCCCAAATGTGTGGGTGGACATGTTTTCCTACAGCTGTTTTGCACATGCGGAAACTTGACTGTTTGTGCACGCAGGTGTCGTTGGTGTCTTGGCCAAACGGATTCTCCAACTCCTTTGCCACCTCATTGAGACACCAAATGCTTTCGAAGAGAAGGAAGGAGAGAATCGGCCCTGCAACTGGAGATCGCGTGAAGACGATCACATACCTTGGATCTCGTGTCTACCCATGGAACTTGATAGCGTGGCTCTCTCGACAATACGCCCTACCCACGCCGGCATCCAACGACAATGCTCAGAAGGCCCGTGCTCTGCGCCCAGGTGCACCGGAATGAGCAGGGAAAATGCCACCAGCAGAAGCCCCAGAAGCTGAGCAAAGGGAAGAGGAAAGGGCACATCTGCAATCTTCAGGCAGTTGTTGAAGCCCAGCCTTGACAGAGCATCAGGGACTAGATGGACTCATGTGGAATCATAAGTGCAAAACCCAAGACAATTCACTGAGCCACAAAAGTCTAAGCCAAGCGCATGCCGTTGGAGAGCTCTTGGTACATTCGTGACTGAATTGGTGGGGCGATGTCAATATCCTTCATGACGTCAGCAAGATCCCAAATTATCCAATACATGACACTGGAAATCGCGTCATTTGACTGCCCTAGCAGCTCAACTTGGTGCTTGGACGGCTTCTGGAAGACTACGTACTCGTGGTCATCGTCGTTTGACTTGGCACGGTTGAACACTTTCCTCTCAGACATTTTTGGAGGAATCCAGCCACTCTTTTCCTTGTCAATTCTCATGCTTCCTCTTGTTTGCACACCCCTGGCATGGACTTCCTCCATACGTTGATTGTCTCCTTGGGTCAAGCGATCTGCGGCCACTGTGCTGAGCAAGGCATAGTTCACCTTGAGTCGTCGCTGTTTCCTCTCGATGCGATCTGCTTTAGTCTGATCTCCTTTCTCCAGAGCCGCTTTTCGAGTCACTTCGGCAAAGGCTTGGAACTGTGAGAAAGCATCAGCCCATTTGCTGTACATGAAGTGCAGCTGGGTCACCGCCTGCTCAGCATGGAGAGTATCTATATATATATATTATATATATATATATATATAATGATCAAATTGTCAAACATAGTACCATCAGTGGCATCAAAGGAAAAATAATGATAAAGTGTGTTGCAATTTGTTGCAATTCATCAATTTGTTCACAACTTTGCACAACGCAATGTTCACGGCAAATCCTGGCCTCCCAATACCGGTTCCAAGCCAGCTGGGTACGAAAGACAATGGCAAAGGTCACACCAACCCCTAAGGCCTGAAATCCATAGTGGTGAAAAATCACAGGAGAGGGCTCAAAGCCATGATGCAGCGCCCTGTCCAACCAATATTGCACCAAAATGCCAAGGCCAGCAACCACCAGCCCACCCAAAATCGAATCCCATCCTGACATCCAAAGTCAACAACCATTCAGGAGCAAAAGTGGGATAACAATCACATCAAAACAATCAAGAATCAAGAACAATAACAGTATTCAAAAACAAACCAACTTGAAACGAGAATCTGTAGAAGACGCTGCCACGACGCTCCACCAGGAGCCAAAAAAAGCTTTTGTTGTAGTAGAGCAGCATGTCAAATGCAGCACATGTCGCGGCCGAGTTCTTCAATCTCCTAATGAACACCCTGACAACGTAACCAGCCACGTTAGTTGTCGAACTAGGTGTTCTACAGTTGAAGTGTTCATCTTCGCGTTTTGAGCCAAAAGAGTCGCATTGGCCCGCCCTGTTATATGTTGCACGGTCGAAAACCCTTGCGCATGCGTTAAATTAACCTCAATCACACCAATGAAGTCCAATGAATGAATGTTCACTTCCCTCTTGCGCAACCCGTGCCTTCGCCAATGCGGGTGTGTCCAACCGGTTCTTTTTGTAGACAGCAGTGTCATGTTGGCCAGGCGGCTTGGGTCTGTACAATCTGCCACTTGGCCGCCAGAGCCTCAGTCCCCTGGGAAATCAGCTGAGAAGCTCATCCCAGTTCACAGAATCCCAAAAATCCTTCTCCCGATCACTGGACTTCTGTGCACAGCCGCAGCGGAAAGGGTTCTCTACTGCAACTGGTTTGGGCATCGGGAAGGCTGATGCAAACACCTCAGCCAAATCATCCTGATGTTTCGTCACTGGCGCTTCTTGCTTCAATGGCTTCTGGAAGGCAACATCGCCATGCTGCACAACTGGCGACGTGGGCTTCACTGAGCAAGGGCTTTCAATCCACCCATCCAACAAGTTCTCCTTGGTCTTTCCCACGCTCTCACTGCCTAGGACTGTCCAGTCATCCAGCCAGTTTGGGCTAGGATCCTCGCTGCCAAGGAGGCCAAACGGAACAAAACTCAATCGGATGCAATTTTGGACACGCAACTTGAAGCCTTTTGTTATCGGCAAACACAAAATCATATAAACACATCCCATTTTGCCCATGTTTGCTCTCATTCAAAACCAACTCCTTGGTATGGGCCCCAGCTGCAGGAGCCATAGTTCCAGAAGTGTATCCTCCTGTAGATGGCGCCGTGGCCGGAGCTTGGCCTTGCTCTGCGCGACTGGCCACCACAATATTCTCCTTCACCGCCCGCTGGACAGCCTCCAGCGCCACCCCACTCCAATCTTCACAAAGCACTGTTTTTTCTTCTCCTTTTTTGTTGGTATCTAGATCCTCTAATTCCAGAGCCTCAGTCCCGTAGATCTCAGTGCAAATTTTCACCTCCAAGAACAACACTGATGTCATTCTGCATGGGATTGCTTGTCTGAAAATATTCATGCATACAGCATGCCGTATACCTACTTGGCCTTCTAGTGGGCATCATGTCAAGTAAGGTAGGTGCTTGTTTTGTGACAAGTCTTGTGACAGCATGGTGGCCGCATGCCTTGCGCTCCTTGGAGTCTTGCGGTTGCCATGACAGAGGAGCACCTCGTCGGTACAGCTCCTGGACAGGCCCACCAAACTACCAAGTGTCTTGTGAATCGTGTGTGCTCAGCCAGGTGCAAAGTTGCACGCGCACCCTTCCCAACATCCTCCAAACAACTCAGTCTCCTTCCCACGGGTATTTCCAACTGTGCGCATCATTTGCACCTCGTCTGGCGACCAAAGGTAGGTGCTGAAGTTCCTCAGTATCTCACGGGCATTGCCTGTCTGAGCAGGATGCAAGCCTGCACTGGATAGAGCCTCTAGTTGGCCGACCCGAGGGTTAAAATACAGGGGAAATACGAAAGACCTTGGCTGGTAGGGAAAGACCAGCCAAGGAATATCGGGTAGACTTAGTCTTGCTGTCAAAAGCAATGTGGCGACCATACTGCTACAATTTGTCCTAGAGAAATGACTATATTATTGTGACTATATATATACATATACTGGGGTCAGATGACTTAGGCCCCTGTCTTGAATATTTCTGACTCTCTCATTGAAGTTTACCTGTATGTTTATTAAAAAAAACTTTCATATGGTAAGGCCAGAATCCGTGATTTAAAAA